TTTAAAGATGGTGCCCTAGTGTGAATTTATTGGTAATGATCTTAAATGATCAAGTACGATGGAAATTGTTTAGTATATTGGATAGAATAATTTGCTGGTTTTGCTTTATGCTATATTCATGAAGTGATTACTCTCTGTTTGATATATATCACTTCCTGATTGAATAGATTGATGCCCGAGTTCTTAGAGCTGTTGCTATTGAGCACAGCAAGGATGTTGATGCTGCTGCTGAGGCAGTGCTTATGGAGATCATCCCTTTCCTCACAGAAAGATCTCGATCAACTACACCTTTGGCTGGGAGCATATCTAAAAGCCAATCATCTAAAGGTGAGTTTTTTTTAAAAAAAAATTATTATAAATAAAACGTTTAAATTAGTGTCAGTTTCATGATGAATTGGGATGTCCATTGGTCTTTTTTTAACATCTCTTTCTTGGTAGATGCCACAGCTACTACTCAGACTGTGAATATCCCACCCATGAATGCATTAGGTTCAGCTGATGGGAAAAACAGTAACAATATGAATGGTGGACAAAAGCTGGGTTGGTACCATGAAGCTGACAATGGGCACAATGGACCAACTACACCTCTGACTGGGAGCATATCTGAAAGTCAATCATCTCAAGGTGACTGTTGTTGTTTTTTCTTTCTTTCTTTTTTTTTTTTAAATTGTTGTTGTTATTAAAAATAAAATGTTCAATGTCAGTTTTATGATGAATCGGGATGTCCATTGGTCCTTTTTTAACATCTCTTTATTTTAGATGCCACAGCTACTACTCAGACGGTGAATATCCCACCAATGAATGCATTAGGTTCAGCTGATGGGAAAAACGGTAACAATATGAATGGTGGACAAAAGCTGGGTTGGTACCATGGAGCTGATAATGGGCACAATGGACCATTCATGGATACATCTCCAGGGCATCTTGGTCAACAGAGTAATACTGTGGGATTGATATTGTCAGGGAAGAATCTTGGGAACTCTCATGGTGAAAATGTTGAGTCGGTTGATAAAGATGAAGCACTTTCTGGCGTGAAATGCGGCATGGAGATTACATTAGATGGTTTTCCTTGTCAGACATTTATTACTTCGCAAGCTGAGAATATTGGAGCTGATCAAAACATGAATCTCGCCCAAGATAAGGTGGAGTGTACCATCTTAGAAACGATGCTAGAAGCTTCCACCTATAGGGCCAGTGATCAGGAGAAATCTTGGGCAGATGGACATAATTCTGTTTCTGCGCAGTCTTCATCGTCTTTGCATGATCTGAAAACACGCCCAATGGGAAACACTGTCCAGTTGGCAGTAGTGCATGATGTACAAGGAAGTCATGTAGAGGAATCCAATAAAAGTTTGCCAATTAATACTTCCCCCGAGATGGAAATTTCAAGAAACATTGTCGACATTGAAGATGAGTCTAAACTTAATGCCTCCATGTCCCAGTCCAGCCAAATTCATATCATGGGCATGCTCGAGGGAATCATTGCTAGTGCGACAAACAATAAGGTGTTCTTTTCTACAACAGTCGATTTTTATCCTCTATCAGTTATTCGTCATGAATAAGTGTAATGTGATTTATATTAAATTAAATCGGTTCAGCTGGTCTTTAGTCATTAACGATCCATTTACAGTTTATAAGAATATGTTTTGAGGGAGAGTTTGACTGAAGAAAGAATGTATCATAAAAGAAACAACTGAGCTGCTAACAGTAAGTTGGTGGATTTCTTAAAAATGTGTGTGCTTGTGGTAACTAGGTCTAATAGTGGTAAAACGGTGCAGGAAACATTGTTCTCAGGGATGCAGTCTATCATCAGCTTGATGAGGGAAGTGGAACTTAAAGAGAAAGCTGCAGAACAAGCTAAATTGGAAGCTGCTATGGGCCGTGCTGATTTACTGGCCAAGTTGGAAGAGCTTAAGAAAACAGTGCAACTTACAAAGGAGTTAAATAGCATGGTAATATTTTTACTTATAGTGCCCCATCACTTCAATGGATCCACAGGACTTTGCTCGTTAAATTATCTTATTTTATTCTCTCTCTCTCTCTCTCTCTCTCTCTCTCTTTATGTCCTATTCTTTTGCAGCATGCTGGTGAAGTTTATGGTGAGAAGGCCATTCTAGCAACAGAATTGAGAGAGCTTCAGTCTCATGTGCTCTCCCTGTCTGATGAAAGAGATAAGTCTCTTGCTGTTCTCGATGAGGTGATTTTAAACTTTACCCCTTCTTCTCAGAAGACACTCTTATAGTACTCGTTGCATATATGTGTTGAAAAAACTGGGCTCAGCTTGTCACATCCGATTATTTCATATCATTCATTTGTTTACATGACTGGAAAATTGTGGTTTCTGTTCCTTCTTCCCAACAATTCGATGATTAACTTATTTTTTTTTACATTATTCTCTTACCTTCTTTTTTTGGTTTTAGAAATATAATGGTAAATGGAAAATGTATATTTCCTGATCTTGTTTGTATAATGTCGCTCTGTACTTCATGGGCATAATAAGAAATTCTATGCAGATGCGTCAAACTTTGGAGGTGCGGCTAGCTGCAGCTGAGAATGAAATAAGATCCGCAGAGCAAGAAAAATTAGAAAAAGAAAAGGCTGCAGTGAAGGCCCTTGCTGAAGAGGAGTTGATTATGGAAAAATTGGTGCAAGAGTCAAAGATCCTGAAACAACAGGCCGACGAAAATGCTAAGGTAATTTCTCCTCCATTTATTCGCAACATTTCAATGAGAGATGTAATTTACATTTTAGGAAGTTGATTTCCTATTTATTTTCCATCCACACCTTGCTTTCTTTACTCCATTATATTTTGCTGCTGAAGTTGTTTTATTATAGGTGCACTAAATATGTTGTTCTTGTTATGTTGCAGTTGCAGGAATTTCTCATAGACCGTGGTCATGTTGTTGATATGCTGAAGTAAGTTTTATAACATTTCCGGCTTTTCAAGTGTTGTATGCTTTCAAAAGGCAATCAGTCGAATTGAATAAGATTTGGACTTTATTACTAGCACATACATATATTATTTTACGTTTCGCTACATCTTTGTCAAATACCATATGTTTATTTTCACCAACTATTGAGTTTGGTTTTACAAAATTAGCACACAGCGAAAACATTGTAATCATGCTTGTTGGAGTTTCTCTTCATACCAATACTGTCATTCAAAATTCTTCTTGCGTAATAGTTTCATTTTTATTCCTTGTGTGAATTTGAAAATAATTCAGAATAGATTTTCGACAACCCCGTTAGATTCTAATGAATCTAAAACTGCAAACTTTTATCTTTTATTATTTCCATTTTCGCATCACAAATAGTGCTGTAGAAAGTAATTCCTTTTGCTGTATAAAGTGTTTCCATTTTTACTTTCGATGATCCCCTTCCTTTCTTCTTCTTTTCCAGAGGAGAACTAGCTGTGATATGTCATGATGTAAAGCTGCTGAAGGAAAGCTTTGATGAGAATGTCCCGTTTAGCAAATCCCACTCTTCCAGCCAGACGAGCTGTCTCATAGCTTCCTCCACTTCGTCTTCCAAAAGTCTGAATCCCGAGGTTTTAGCGCAAGGTGGAGCTGACTCATTGATGGCCGAAACAGAGAGAGATGCTGTTTCTTGTTCTCCCGACCGGCTGTCCGAAGGGAAATTCAAGACTAGAGATGATCGTAAAGCGCTCCTGGATGGTGGATGGGAATTTTTTGAAGATGGCAATGATTGTGAATGAGTGCATAATCATATCTCAAGTTTAAGTTTGACCGGGAAAAGTTGAATTTGCACTTTATTCCAGAGTACAGTTTGATAGAGAAAACTTTGAATTTGGACTATATTTCAAGTTTTGATTGCTATGGATTTTAGTTCGTTTGTGAGGGGTTTGAGTAGGGGTGGATTTATGACCTCCTCGTTATATTTGCCTTTTGTAAATGGTAATAATAAGGTTTGTTTATACTTGAAAATTGAAACAAATAGTGTTGTTGCGTGTTTTAACTTGTTTGAGAAACTTTTTGAGAAAAAAATAAAATAAAATGAATAATTCGGATAGTGATTGGTTGTAATATTAATATCATAATATGTCTTGATAAAAAAAAAAAAAAAGGCAAAATAGCATCAAAATACACCACCTTTTAACTTTTTGCAATTTAATCATCACATTTCAAAGTTTGCAACTAAGTACACCAGCTTTAGACATTTGACAAATCGAAGCATGCCAAACAGAAACGGCACCGACTTTTTTACGTGGCAATGTCGAAAACTCACGTGGAAATCGAAAACACACGTGGAAGTCTAAAAATACCAAACAAAAAATTAAAATGCCACAAAATAAGTCTACTTGGCAGTTTTGCTAAAATAAAACCAAAATTAAGTAGCTCCTCAACCCTAAATTCAAAATCAGTCGAACAACTATGAATCCTAAATTGAAAAAATGTCGATCAATTCAAAATGTTCTCTTATGGCCAAAATAACTCACCTCCAAAATAATCTATAGAACCATCAAGATTGATAAATCTCCCCCCATCGTTCAAATTGTTCGACAATTTTGCAATTTAGGGTTCTTTGTTGTTCGATTGATTTTGAATTTAGGGTTGAGGAGCTACTCAATTTTGATTTTATTTTAGCAAATCTGCCAGGTAGACTGATTTTGTGGCATTTTATTTTTTTGTTTGTTATTTTTGAACTTCCACGTGTGTTTTCGATTTCCACGTGAGTTTCCGATGATACCACGTAAGAAAGCAGGTGTCGGTTGTCGTTTGACATGCTTCGATTTGCCAAATGTTTAAAGTTGGTGTACTTAGTTGCAAATTTTGAAAGGTGGTGATTAAATTGCAAAAAGTTAGGTGCATTTAGATGCAATTTTGCCTAAAAAAAATGAATGCTACTTGTTATAAATATGTAAGAGAATATATAGTAAATTTGTTAGTTAACTGTGTAATTGTAGCTTAATTTGTGTTCTATTAAAAGTAGAGTTGTTAAATGAAACGAATTGCTCGTGAGCTTGACACATTTTGTAAAAGCTCGAATTCGGTTCCGTTCATTTGATAAACGAGTCAAGCTCGAGGTTGTTGAAAGCTCGTTTAGTTAACGAGTTTGGGTTCAGTTCGACTTTTTAATCCTCAAAAGTAAGAATTTTTATATAATTTTTTTTAGTTCAGTTGTTGATCTCGAGCTTGAATCATTAACTAGTATTTATCCTGTGCACATGCACAAATAAAAATAATATATATATATATATATATATATATATATATATGAATGTATACAATATATAACGTTTTATATTAGATAACATATGTATTACATTTTAAATTTTGACTATTTGATGCCATAAATTTTAGTGGACAATATAATTTAGTAATTTAAAACGAATCATACAATTAATTAGTTAGAAAAGTATTACAATTATTTTTATTATTTTTATAGTAATTGTTTATGTGATTTTAAGGTGTTTAATTATTACACTCATACCAATTAACTAATATTAGATAAAAATCGCATAAAATGACAAAAAAATATTTTATTTTAAAAATAAGTTTTTTAAAGAAAAAAATTGAAAAGGTTTAGATCCGATTAATCGCCATTGATACAAAGAGCAACTCGGTTTACACCTAAACCGACTTCCTGTAATTCAAAATAATCTATAAACACACAAATTCATTGCATTCTACACGTTAAATATAAATTAATATTGTTGTCTAGCATAACAACACATAGCAAGGAAGTAAACATAAACGAATAAATAAAAGACATATATACAAATCTAGATGTCCGTCCTCGATAACTTTCGTAATACGACTTCGAACGTACACAAACAAGTATTTCAGCAAGTGAATCTATACATTAGATAATTACGAACATGTCTTCTCCATTTGAACCAAGATCGAAAAACCTATCTTCTTGACTTCTACCGATTTCTATGGCATTTATCTATACGAGATAGTGATCATACTGTTAGAATATCACTTGTGAATTGTCCCACATCGCTCATACATTGAAAATAGACCCACCTTATAAGTCTAATGGGCTACTCATTCTTTCACCATTTGGTTTTGGGATATAACCCCACTTGGACTTCATATGAGTTTTCCACATTTTTTGTGCGCTTCATGTTAGTTGGACTGCACCCGTTTTCCCTTAGTTTCTTTCATGGTATCAGAGCCGGTTCTATTTGGACTGTGCGATGACGTACTCGTTTACCCAACCCGTTTCTAGTATGGCTTGGGCCCACGTACCCGTTTATGAGAGTCTGTTTCTAGTAGGGCTTGGGGTTAAGAATCTACAAGTAAGAGAGCCGGTTAGAATATCAGTTTTTCATACATGGAAAATAGGCCCACCTTATAAGTCTAATGGGCTACTTCTCCTTCCACCAATTGGTTTTGGGATGGAACCCCACTTGGGCTTCATATGAGTTTTTCCCGCTTTTAGTGCGCTTCATGTTAGTAGGCCCGCACTCGTTTCCCCCAATTTCTTTCATGATATCAGAGTCGGTTCTATGTGGGACTGTGCGATGACGTACCCGTTTTTTCCCCACGTACCCGTTTATGGGAGCATGTTTCTAGTAGGGCTTGGGCACACGTACTTGTTTATGGGAGCCTGTAGGGCTTGGGCTCACGTACCTGTTTATGGGAGCCTGTTTTTTCTAGGAAGGCTTGGGACACCCAACCCAGTTGGGTTTGGGTTTTCGAAGGACTCACAAGTGAGGAGACGTGTTAGAATATCACTTGTAAGTTGTCTCACATCGTTCATACATGGAAAATAGACTCACCTTATAAGTCTAATGGACTACTCCTCATTTCACCAATTGGTTTTGGGATGAAATCCCACTTGAGCTTCATATAGGTTTTCCCCGCTTATGGTGCACTTCATGTTAGTTGGATCGCACAAATTTTCCTCGGTTTCTTTCACAAACAATAAGTCATGAAACCCAAATGACTCAAATAAGTGAATATTCATACATTCAACATACATTCAAACAAGATTGAAAATCCACAACCCTTACTATTGATAAATTACCTCATGCTTCGATTCAAAATTATACTATTCATCAAATAAAATAAATAAATAAAAAAAATAAACAAAAAATTAAAACTTACAATCAACTAAAAATTTACGAAAATTCATATCCATGAATTATTTAAAAAAAAAAAAACTAGAGAAAGTTTTCAAGATTCAAAGCACAAGTTAATAAAAAAAAAAATAAAAAGAAGTTTTATATTGGATCATTATTTATTTAGTGGATCATTATTTTTTTTTTATCAATTTAAATTTAATATACCATTAATCACCCTGCCTGTCTAGGCTGTGCAATTCTACTAGTACAGAGCCCGTGCGATGCACGTGTGCACAATTTCAAAGTCATATATTCATTATTATAATTATATAAATGAATAAAAAAATGTACGGGATATATATAGTACGTGACCTGTAATAGGCCAAAATGTGAACACGCGTGATGCACGGGCTGCACAATTTTAAGGTCATTTATTAGTACAAAGCCCGTGCGATGCACGAGGTGCATAATTTTCTACTGTGTGTAATAAAAATACATACCGTATGCACGAGACAAAAGCACTAAATGAGTCATTTCCACAGAGTTTGTCCGTTACGTAGCTCCTGAACACGGGTGCACAATTTGTAGTACGTACCATAAAATCAGAACAAATTTTCATACAATTAGATAATACATTAGATAATAAATAAAGTCTTTTTATTTTATTAAAGATTTTACGTATTTTGTTTTTTTACTTATCGGATGTTATGGGATTTTTTTGTTAAACCGATTTTATGGAATATAATATAAATACAATTAGAGGATTGAACAAAATCAGAACAGATTTTCATACAATTAGATAATAATAAAAAAAAAAAAATAGATAAGGAAAAGAAGGGATTAGATAAGAAAAAGAAGGAATTAGATAAGGAATTTTGAATTTGACTTTTTTTTTTGGATAGATAAACTTTACGTACAAATTTTGACTTCACTGATTTTATGAGATTTATTTTGACAAAATCAATGTTAATATGTAATAAGGCAAATAAATAAATTCTTTTTATTTTAGTAAAGATTTTACGTCTTTTTTTTACTTGTCGATGTTATAGGATTTTTTTTTTCTTAAACTGATTTTATGAGATATAAAACAAATAAATAAAATAATTAAATAAAATTTTGGATAGAAATAGCAATGCATTAAGTACGTTAACTTTTTAATCTATTAAATTTGGTGAATAGGATACCTTATATAATAAATATAGATACAAATAAATGACATGCCAAAATTTTAAAGAATAATTAATGTATTTTAATTTATTATCTAGCCATCAGGAATATCATTTAATGATGTGATCATTATCTCTTAAAAGATAAATAAAATATTAATTTAAAAAAAATATTTGTTTTTTATATACTCAAATAAAAATTAAAAAATACTATCGACAAATATGAATTATAATATATATCAGTAAAATCATTGCAGAAGTTAATAAAATTATTTAATGAAAGAATCTTTTTGATCATATTTGAATAAGAAATGTATATATGCAAGCAATTAATGCATATAGTAAAAAATTTCTAAATAAAGTATGTATTAAATGTGAATTGACTTTTCTTGCTACTATTTTTGGTAAATAGTATGACTTTTAATATAAGTATAGATGTCGCAAATACTCTTTTAAACGGATATATATACGTATAAATTGCATTTACACAAAAACCGGAATGTATCTCTCTGTAAACGGCAAACATTAATGGCATTACGTCATTCCCAAGTTCCGTGTGCCCAGTTTCAAGCCAGCAAAATGACTAGTGAGAATGATAATTCAGTCCTATTGCCGCCTGATTCGTACGGCTCGGTGGTTCTCGGTGGCACCTTCGACCGCTTACATGACGGCCATCGCCAATTCCTCAAGGTCCGGTGGGGTGCGGCTGTCGGCGTATTTTATTCAATGATCTTTTGATGATAGTCTCATAATTTTGCAGGCTGCGGCTGCGGTGGCGAGGGATCGAATCGTGGTTGGTGTTTGCGATGGCCCCATGCTCGCTAATAAACAGGTGATGACTAGTTAATGTTGTATTGTCTACTGGTTGTAATATCCTTTTTTTTTTTTTTTTTCAGTGAGGGCATTTAATTCGTGAGGACAAGCTTATGAAGGTCAGATGTGTTAGGAGTGATGTGCTTATTTATGCCTGGGCAGACATGATTTTTCTTGTTAATTTTTGTTTTGTCCAATGGTTGCCCCGCTTTCTCCTGTTAAAGATCACACTATTTGTTTGGGATATGTATTGGAACTTGATTGGGTTGCTTGAAATTAGATTGTCCTATACAAAATTTGTGATCTCCAAATTCGGAAAGGCGACCCTTGACCTCTGCGATGCATCATATTTCTATCAATTCATTTTTCCTTCCACAATAGGAAAGAATGGAAAAGATTTCCTATTTGTGTAGCTGAAAAAGGGGGATGAAAATGAGTAGATGTTTACGAATACACTAGTTTGGTATATATCGTGGCTTCATCCGTTCAGTGTTTCTTTCCCAAAAGAAAGGTAGAAGAGTTCTTATGTGCAGTACTATTTATAGAGATATGATAAAGACCGAGGAAGCGGATTACCTGAGTTGTTAGTCTTGCGGAATATAATCGGCTTGACAATTTCATGATTTTTCTTAGAAGAAGGAAAGGGAAACAGCAAGATTTTATTTGATGGTTATTAGCGTTAGAAAGTAGACTAGACACTTATTTGGGCAGTATTTCAAGTATTTGTTCACAATATTAAGATTTCAAAATCAAATTAGTTGTCGAATTTGTCAAACAACTAACACATTCTCAGGAGGAAAAGAGCAAGTAGTAGAGAAGGCAAAAGTTGTTTTGAGTTTGTAGTTTCTCAATCAAAAATAGAGAAGAGCCTAATTACTGTGCTTAGTACTTAATTTCGAGGAATTTGCAATGAATATCGAGACATATCTGTGCAGTTACTAAGGTAGAATGGAACTACTCGTGCTCCTTTTTCTTTTCTTCTCTTTTGTTTTCTTTTGTTTTCACCTTTTTTCAGTTATATGTTTATACGTATGAACAGTTGATTGCATTTCTCGCACTCAATAGATATGCACATCAGTAAGTTAGTGAAGATGCTTGAAGGGCTCAAATTGATTGCATATCATATTATATATATGCATTCAATTTAAACATCCATAAATATATGTATGTGCAGGTATGAAAAAAATTAGTTATCTGTGTGAAGTCTGAGTGATCTATATTCGTCCAGTTTGCGGTATAGATGAATCTATTCATGTCGGTCTGTTTTAGTTAAGACTCTTGCTTAATCATACTTGCTGAGTCGACGTGTTAAGAATTTGTATTTCTTTGATCATGTGAAGAATCATCCTTGATATTCAGACAATTTCTATAGCCTTTTAGTACTCTGGAATGCAAGAAATGGATGAGCATTTTCAAGTTCACTATGTATAAGACTTGAAAATGTAGGGCTACATTGAGTTGAATATTACCTCTGATTTTCTCATGCCCGGTTAAATTTTAACATGTTAAATTTTCTTGCTTCTTATCATTGTGTTCTATTGAAAATTTGGAAAATATGATGTTTTTGAACCCTTCTTTTCGTTTTCCGTGCAGTATTCTGATTTGATAGAGCCAATTGAGCAAAGAATGAAAAACGTTGAAGAGTACATTAAGGTATATGCCATTTGGCTGATGCTTCCCGTATTTCTTTCTCTCTTTCCAGCCCAACTCACATGGTAGTCGTACTCTTAATTGAGCTTTTGGTTTATTGGAATGTTCCTTACTATTTAACTATTTAACTGTAGAGCATTACCGTTCTGTGAAGATGAGAAAGGGTCAAGCATTGCCATTTTGTTTGTAACTGTTTCTTAGTAAATTATGCTGGATGACTAATTTAGTCTTTTTTATTTTGGACTGCTGAATTTTCTATCTTGTACGGTCAATAGTCATGAAAATAACATTTAATCATTTTCCTTGTTTGTCCACTGTAGTATGTTAAGCCAGAGTTGGTTGTGCAAGCAGAACCAATTGTGGATCCTTATGGTCCGTCAATTATCGATAATAATTTGGAAGCTATTGTTGTAAGGTCAGTACAGTTCCTCAGAAATTACTTCAGTCATCTGATATTTTTCGTTCAATTACTATAAAAATCCTCTTGAGATTAACTTCTCCAATTGTGTCTCTTTATACAACTTTGCTTTAATTCATACTTTCTTCTTTCATTCCGGTGATTATAATGTGATGCCCATATGTGAATTCTTTCAAGAGATATCCATAAGAAGTACCCATGATGTTCAAGCTTCTAACTAGAACAACTATAAATTTAGTTTACACAAGGTAAAATTTGGTTTGATTCAATTTAGTTAAGGGGCTAACTGTAGTATTCTCTTATAAATGTGAAGGGGGTATCTGAAATATTTTTTTGATTATAAAATGGCTAAATGGTAAGGTGGAAGAAATATCAGGGTACTTTTATAATTTTGGAAGTCACATTTGTTTCTTACTTTTAAAGTTAAACCTCAAAGGGTACTTCTTATAGCCTTCTAAATTCTCATAGTGAGCTAGATGTCTGTTTAATTAAATTCTGATGTAGGGAAGCGTACGAATGGGAAGGATAAACGAGATACTCTCTCGAGAAAACTCACAATCAATTCTTTATTCAAAATCAACTGAGTAAAATAAACTAGAGAGAGTCCTTTATATAAGGCCCCTAATCCTAAACTTAACTTTATCACCAAGAAAACTACTGAATATTAATGCTAAAATAATAATAATAATAGCAGCAATAATAACACTAATATGATTCTACATCAAATTCCCAGAAAGCTACAGATGTCTCTTAAGACTTCTATAGAGGATCCATAGTATTACAAACAAGCTACCTATTCAAAATGATTCTGTAAGATAATATTGCTAGAAGAAAGGAAAAACATGAAAGCGAAATTTATCGTAATGTTCATGGGACTGGCTTTGCATATGGAGCTGGAAGAGTCATTGTTGACAATTCTCCTGGCATAGTGCTAATAATGGATTAGATCAAAATGGCTCAATTAAATTCTAGTGCTTCTTCTATTAGTGAAGTTTCTAGAAAAAAATATATCAAACGACAACGCACCTTGGGACGCTACGGAAATAACCTTCTTGTATAATTACAAGGGTAAGGTCTGCGTACAACTGACCCCCAGACTCAACATGTTGGGAATATACCCAAATATACTGGGTATGTTGATGTTGATGTTGATGATGTTCATGGGACTGGCTGAGCAGATTATAATAAAAGCTTGGAAGTAACTGAAATGTTTGGGATATACCCCCACGTAGTATTGATTATTAAAATATATGAAATAAGTTATATGTCATAATAAGATCCCTCTAGGTTTTGTAAGTAAATTTATCTGTTCAAATCACCTAGAGGTGAATTATGTGCACTTACAAATATGTTCAACTATTATGTGATAGCTATAACTAGAGTTGCTTTTTTGATAGTAAGGAGACATTTGCTGGGGGATTATCTGTTAATAAAAAGAGGGCCGAGAGAGGTCTCTCACAGCTAAAGGTATGACACATCCAATCTGCATGAAGAATAATTTCCTTTTGGCTCTCTATAAACCCATTTTTTTACTCTTTTTTTTTTTTTTGTTGTTGTTGTGAAAAACTGTGCAGATTGAAGTTGTTGATTTAGTACCTGAAGAATCTAGTGGAAACAAATTGAGTTCTACAGCCTTGAGGAAACTTGAAGCCGAGAAACGCAAGATGCTTCAGGTGGAAGGTGAGGTTTGACAGCTGTGGATCTGAATGGCACTGTAATAAATTCTTTTTCTTATTGGAATTGCTAATGGAAAGTAGTTTTTCTATCTGATTGTCATCCATAACAATTATATCTTGTATGAAATGGTCATGTAAACAAGTAATGAAAATGTTCCACATAGAGTTTTCTTATTCATTGTCTGGTCCATTGGTTTATCACCATTACACATTTTTGGCTTTTGTGGGTATGTTTAAAACTTGCTCCTCTTTTGTTCTCAATGAGACCTTCAAGTTCCTCAGAGTTCTAGATATTGAACTATGTAATATCAGGTTATTTCCAATTTGATTTTGTTTGTTTAGTGGGACCAAATTTCGGATGATAGAATCGGTTTATAACGATTACCAAATATTATTGGTTTCTATTTAATATTTATGGATATGAATATTTGTGTTATTGTTTACATATTTTTTTTGACTGTATTTGTAAACTTATAAATAAAAAAAAAATAAAATCAACAAAAATAGATGAGTAACTTAAATATAGCCAGTATCTTTAGACGTTGGCAATATTAGAACCATCTTTTCGATTTGGCAGTAGTAGTCAATAAGTATTAAAATTTTCGGGCTTATTACCCAAATTTGGCCAAACTCTCTCTCTCTCTCTCTCTCTCTCTCTCTCTCTCTCTCTCTCTCTCTCTCTCTCTCTTTCTTCTTTCCCAGAGGAGAAGTAGCTGTGATATGTCATGATGTAAAGCTGCTGAAGAAAAGCTTTGATGAGAATGTCCCGTTTAGCAAATCCCTCTATTCCAGCCAAACGAGCTGTCTCATAGCTTCCTCCACTTCGTCTTCCAAAAGTCTGAATCCCGAGGTTTTAGCGCCAGGCACCAGCTGACTCATTGATTGCCGAAACAAAGAGAGATGTAGTTTCTTGTTCTCCCGACCTGCTGTCCGAAGGGGAATTCAAGACTAGAGATGACCGTAAAGCGCTCGTGGATGATGGATGGGAATTTTTGAAGATAGCGATGTTTCTGAATGAGTGCATAATCATATCTCAAGTTTAAGTTTGGCTGGGAAAACTTGAAAATTTCACTTTAATCCAAAGTACAGTTTGATAGAGAAAACTTTGAAAATTTCATGTTTTGATTGCTATAAATTTTAGCTGCTTGATTTTAGTTCATCTGTGAGGGGTTTGAGTAGAGGTGGATTTATGAACGCCTCGTTATATTTGCCTTTTGTAAATGGTAATAATAAGGTTTGTTTATATTTGGAAATTGAAATAAATAGTGGTGTTGCGTGTTTTAACTTGTTTGAGAAACTTTTTGAGAAAAAAATGAATAATTCGGATGGTGATCGGTTGTAATATTATTTTCATAATATGTGATGTGATATTAACTTGATAAAAAAAAAATGAATACTACTTGTTATAAATATTTAAGAGTATATATAGTAAATTTATTAGTGAATTGTGTAATAATTGTAGCTTAATTTGTGTTCTATTAAAAGTAGAGCTGTTAAACGAAACGAATTGCTCGTGAGCTTGACACGTTTTGTATAGGCTCGAATTCGATTCTACTCATTTGATAAACGAGTCGTGCTCGAGGTTGTTGAAAGCTCATTTAGTTAAAGAGTTTGGGTTCTGTTTGACTTTTTAATCTTCAAAAGTAAGAATTTTTATATAATTTTTTGTAATTCAGTGTTGATCTCGAGCATGAATCGTTAATATCGATAATTTAACTAAATTTGAACTCGACTATTGACTCATTTACTTAATAAGTTGCACTTTGCTCATTGAAAGTTCGGCTCCGTTACATCCCTAACTAAAAGGCACCAATCTTTTGTGTTGTTTGTAATGGGGTATTCTAAAAGGCACCAATCTTTTGTGTTGTTTGCAATGGGTTATTCTGCAAATTAAAAAGGCATCGCCTTTTTTTTTTTT